GAACAAATCTTAAATATGGCAGGGAATGTGTTTACTTTTTTAGTTTTGATTTTGAGCAGCAAATCTGGAGTTACATATGCTCACCAGGAATGCATACGCAAAATTGCACAACTTTTCACTTGAAAGAATAGTGGCGATCTTGGGATTTTTTTCTGTTCAATTTTCAAATAGTGTGTAAATTCAGTACACTATCTTCAGCATGTTTAGTGCCACTTTTATAAGTAACCACGCCCCCGGCCAGGCCACGCCCTTTCCGCTTTTTTCATCACTCGCCATTGCCATCTATGAAGAAAATGGATGACATCACAAAAAACAAATTTGCTGAAGCCATCGCTAAATGTATGGCTACTGCATGCAAGCATGTCAACATTGTCCACAGCTGAAATCATTCACATTTCATCTAATGACTCCACTACGGATTCCCAGCGAGAGCCTCCATTACAAGCTGTGTACAGAGATTGTACGTAGCGGAGAAGACACTGCTTCGAGAGAGAAATAAGAGACTAGGTTTATGAGTCTCTGGTGAATAAAGAGCAGGTAGCCTGTCGAATACGATGCATGCCACTGACACGATTGTTACTTGTTTGGAACTATTTTGTGTGGAAGGTTACAGTGCTCCGTGTCCATATAAATAAAGCGGGTGGAGCTTCTCTGTGTTTGTCTGACAGTGACGGTGCGCTGAGGCACGTCGAGAGTTAAGCGGTGCCGTCATAGCGACCATCCTGAAAATAAAACGTCTCCAGTGTTGTGCCTTGAACCAACTGTAGTCATCCAAAATGATGTCTACACAAAACCATCGAGAGACTTCCGTGCAAGAAGGACCAACAGAATCAACATAGCCTGAGTGCTGTGTTCAAAGCAAACTTGAGAAAAAAGAAGCTGCAACCAATATGCAACCATAGCTTAAATCCACTATAGGCTGAGTCCTAGTTTACCTTAGCTGTGCACTTTATAATTTGTTTTGCTCTGTTTTGATTCCATAAAAAGAGCTGTGAAAGGAGCTGTTGTGTGGCAAAATAATTTTTTCACTGTTGTTGATAGACGTAATATTGTGTGAGATGATGTGTGAATAACTGCTCCAAGTGAAAAATGTTCATATAAAAATTGAAAATCGTTTCAGTAAATATTTGCATTTTGCACATAGAAAACTGATCCATGTCAATGTTGATGAGAGCATTAAAACGGGAAAAAAATTGGACAAAAAATATTAAAGGAAATTCAGAAACGATAAAAAAAATGCGTGAGTAATCACGATACATTTTGAATTAATTATGACATTTTAATTCAACTAAATATTTTGATTGTTTGACAGCTCTAATATATATATTTGGTACTGAGTTGTGGTTTTTCAATGAAATTTGTTTGAACTCATTTTCAGAGCTTTAGTTGGTTGATTTAGTTCATGTTTAGTTTCCTTTTTTTTGTGTGTTTTATTTTTAAACTGTCCAGTTCTTTACTGTGCAGCACCCCACGTGTTTGATCGGATTTTATTGGAGGCGATTATGAATAAAATGGACATTTTCCATTTTGTCATGAAATGTGTGATGGGGCTGTTTGAATTGTTGTTTGATACTGTGTGTTACTTGCTGGTGAATAAAGTTTTCTTTGCTCAGAAAGCTTGGATCAGCCACATCTCCTTCAATATCCCTACCTCAATATCAGAAAGATTCATGATTGGTGAGGCACTATTTTCCTTGAGTGAGATATTACAGGGACGAAAGTCCTCCGGATTTTCCCAGAATTCCGGATTTTCAAATTTTAATGAAAATGTCTCTCGAGAATTGAGGAAAAATTGCCAAAAATTAATCCGGATATTAGTTGACACCATTGAACGAACACGCATTTGAGTTCATTGTTTTGCTTTCACGAGTGTAGCCATATTGAGGCTCTTACACGAGTAACAGTTAAAAGATTTTTGTTTGTGTAATAATGACACAAGATATGATGGCATTTGACTTATGCTTTTGTAGAACGAATGGCAACTCGCAACAACAGTTGCAAGCAGAACTTTGCCTCTTGGGTAATACCATCTCAACTAGAACGGGGGTGTTGTTCCCAAACAATTTTTGTCTCTTTATGAACACACTTGTTCAACCCCAGTGGAATGAATAAAAGACGCCGTGGACAAGACAGTTTTTGTCGTGAAAAATATATTTGGACAAAAAGGGAAACACACAGAATGGCAGAAAAATGTGTCCGTCCGACTTGGAGTGTCGTCTCGGCTAGCTAGCTTAGCTGTTGTCGTGTGTGACGTCGGTTGCGTCAGCGCTGATTGGTTGAAATCAAAAGACGCGCTTGCGTACATATTCGTGCTGACGCACGCACAGCAGAGAGCAGCGGACTATCTACT